TAATTGCTTTACTTAGTTCATTTTTTCTCCTCTGTGTCTCATCTGGGCTGGACTTGCTTGCTTGTTTTTTAATAACAAAAAAAAAAATTTGCATTTCTGTAATGGCCCTTTCACACCATAATTGAGATGAATAAGTCTTAGGCTTATATTAAAATCTGTACAGTAGAGGGCGCCGCTCAAACAAACCTTTCAGCTGTGCTGACAGTCTGAACCGCAGAAGAATAAGAAACAGGAAAAGAAAGTTCAACACCTTACTTCAGCAATAAAACCAAAAAGCTTATTGCTTATGGCTTTTGGCTTGCTTAGTTGGGGACATTTAATTTAATATTCAACAATATTATTGATCTGCCTTCAGGTGGACGATGATGCAATTTTCTTCTAGAAACAAACTGTTGTTTTATTTTCATGTTATCACTGTGAAGCTGCTTTGATACAATCTGTATTGTAAAAAGCGCTATTTAAATAAAGGTGACTTGACTTACAACCATTAGTTTAATCCTTATTAGTGTGGTTGAATCGGGTCATCAAAAGTCAAGGCATCAACAGTAAAGGCATTGGTTAATAAAGTGAGACTAGTAAATACATAAAGTATTTGTCTAATTTACCTTTTAATTATTGCAGGTTTGTGTAATTTTCTGAGTTTGCTTTTCATAGTTTTTATTCATGTAAAGGAATACTGGCATAGCTCAGGTTACTTGTACAGCACGCTGTTTCAGGGTTCAAAAAGAAACTGAAGAGATCGAAACAACAACAAACTACCGAGACCCCAACGCCAATAGAGGCTCACGACAAGCGCTTGTTCGATGGAGTTCAGCCAGCTCTTGCTTGAGAGTACAGATATTTTTATCACTCATAACTTCTGGAGAGAAATAACACAGATAATGGACAAGGATTAAACTAATGGTTGTAAGTCAAGGGACCTTTATTTATATAGCGCTTTTTACAATACAGATTGTATCAAAGCAGCTTCACAGTCATAACATGAAAATAATACAACAAAGTTTGTTTCTAGAAGAAAATTGCATCAACGTCCACCTGAAGTAAGGCAGATCAATAATATTGTTGAATATTAAATGTCCCCAACTAAGCAAGCCAAAAGCCAAGGCAACAGTGGCAAGGAACCAAAACTCCATCAGTGACAGAATGGAGAAATAAACCTCGGCTGGGCCCAGACTCAGTCGCTCAGTTCTCCGCTGGCCAACGAACGGTCAGTGTGTGATTATGATTCAGGAGCATTACAGGTCATCAGTCTGATTGAATCAGAATATTTATCCAGTTCATCTGGTTGGAAGTCGGAGTCATCACGCCGGTATGGAGACGAGGTGTTGAGGATCAGTGCCGATGGCTGTCGTGTCGATGAGGCCTTCACAGGGCTGATGAGGCTGGCACTCCAGGGATGTGTCATGGATGGGTCCAGGTGCAGGTCCACCATCTGATCTGGATACGGCCCGGATCCGGCCGACTTCAGTAAACCTAGGGGATAGACTAGTTGACACTTCAGGACTGCGTTGGCGTCGTGTCCAGGCGCTGCTCCTTCCTTAGATCTGGATCTGGTGGACTGCGGTAAACCTCGGGATAAACAGAGAGACTAATATTAGCGTAGACGCCATCCTTCTTATGATGTAACGAGTACATCAGGATTTAAGGGAAGTGTTCCCGGTTCCGGCTGACCTAATCTATGCAGCCTAACATTGAATTATAGAAGTCTATAATGTGTTATGTGAATGTTAGATCAAAGAGATGTGTTTTTAGTCTAGCTTTGAACTGACAGAGTGTGTCTGCTTCCCGGACAATGTTAGGAAGACTGTTCCAGAGTTTTGGTGCTAAATAGGAAAAGGATCTACCGCCAGCAGTCGATTTTGATATTCTAGGTATTATCAACTGGCCGGAGTTTTGAGATCGCAATAGACGTGAAGGACTATAATGCGTTAAGAGCTCGCTCAAGTACTGCGGAGCTAAACCATTTAGTGCTTTGTAAGTAATCAGCAATATTTTAAAATGTATATGATGTTTAATAGGCAGCCAATGCAGTGTTGACAGAACCGGGCTAATATGGTCATACTTCCTGGTTCTGGTAAGAACTCGAGCTGCTGCGTTTTGGACCAGCTGTAGTTTGTTTATTAAGCGTGCAGGGCAACCCCCCAGTAGAGCATTACAATAATCTAGCCTTGATGTCATGAACTCATGAACTAACTGTTTCGCATTTGTCATATTTTTAAGATGAAAAAATGTGGTTTTACAGATACTAGAAACGTAACTTTCGAATGAAAGATTGGTATCAAAGAGCACACCCAGGTTCCTAACCGACGACGAAGACTTGACAGAGCAGCCATTAAGTGTTAGACAGTATTCTGGGTTATTACGTGTGGAAGTTTTTGGTCCAATAATTAGAATCTCTGTCTTTTCAGAATTGAATAGTAGGAAATTACTAGTCATCCATTTTTTTATATCAGCTATGCATTCCGTTAATTTTGTGAATTGGTAAGTTTCATCTGGGCATGAAGAAATATAGAGCTGAGTATCATCGGCATAACAGTGAAAACTAATGCCATGCTTTCTAATGATATCTCCTAAGGGTAGCATGTACAGAGTGAACAGCAACGGTCCTAGTACTGAGCCTTGTGGCACACCAATGTAAGCACAATTTAAAAACATGCATGTACACAATAAGTATATTGTATCAATTTAGTACATTTTATCACAACCTCCATTCACCAGTCCAGTCACCTCAGCACACTGCGTTTCCCAGAATCCCTCCTGGCTCACTCTCCACAATCACCACACCCATCTGTGATCACCCTCATCAGCACCTTTCTGTTTAAGCACACCAGTCACTTCACCATTTACTACCTACCTCTACCTCTGAGGGACTTACCTGTGAGATCAGAGTAATATTAATCAACTACATGTACTTACTGTAGGGTTAAGGTTTGGTTTAAGGTTAGTTGCTTGTAATTATGCTTCATTTTCTGTTATTACTATAGTAAGTGCATGTAACAACGTCACCTTAAAATAAAGTGTGACTCGTTTCACTTGTTGAGATTTTCACCAAGCAAAGAGAATACAAACTGAGTCCAAAGGTTGTTAGGGCCCTTGCAGCCACCTTATCATCAGTCATTGTGACACATTCGTCGTTTTATTTTTAAATAAGCTGCACAATAATGAATCCATGAGCGGTACAAGCCGTTCCGTGATCCGGGAAGCAGAGAGACTGCTTTGTTTGTGCCGTATCTCACGACTCTTTCAGCCCACATCTGGCTTTACAGGAATGTTTTCTCCATGTGAAAGTGGTTTACCCGACAGATAAACACACCACACACACAGAGATACACACGCATGCTCCAAATGGTCACGGGTCGCAGACACTCTTCACAGGAGCTGTGGGCTGAGGAACACTCGTGCCCTTCACAATTAAAAATAAAGATTATGATACTGAAGCGGGTTCAGTTTGAAGTAAAGCAGTGAAGTGAATCTTGTTGTGCAGAGGATCATAAGGTCAGTTCTGAAACGCTGCCAGTGGCGTCCTTGAAGCAAACATTGTCTCCGATCTCTGAGGACAGCAGGCGGTCTTTATACTGAAACAGAACAGCTTTTCACGATCCAGAGACGAATGAAATCAAAACGTAAAAAACGCAATTGACAAAAAATCGTAAATGACAAAAAATCATACTGTCTGCTTAAAGCAAATTGATTTGTTTCACAAGTGATTTTATTCTCAGACAAGCCTTTTGCCAAGCAAACCTTTCTTTTTGAGTTGATATACGCATCTAGAAGAGGCCCACCCTAATAATCAACTGGTACATGTAGGTTAGCCAATCACAACAGACCTCGTTTACATATTGAAATCTTAAAGATACACTAGCATTCAAAAGTTTGGGGTAAATTTTTTTAAATAAATAAAATGTATACAGCAAAGATGCTTTAAATTGACCAAAAGTGTCAGTAAAGACATTTATAATGTTATAAAATATTTCTATTTCAAATAAATAAAGGAATCCTGAAAAAATGTATCATGGTTTCGACAAAAATATGAAGCAGCACAACTGTTTTCAGCATTGATAAATAAACAGAAATGTTTCTTTAGCTTCAAATCATCATATTAGAATGATTTCTGAAGGATCATGTGACACTGAAGACTGGAGGAACGATGCTGAGAATATATATTTCAAAATCCACCTGCATTTTGTGACTTTCAGTCAAATGAAATAATTTTTTTCCATTTGTATATTTCGTCATTAAATGTTTCTTAAAAATAATGTTGAAATATCATCTCGTCTCGTTCTTGTAAACCCAATATCGTGTATCGTCTCGTGAGCTAAGTGTTTTGTCACACCCTTAATAAAACATAATTTCCCAACACAATTTGTGGCCAGTGAAAATGCTGAGTAGCTCTGGAAAACCACTAACCAACAGTTCATGTCAAGCCCTGGTCATGAGAACTAAATTCAGCTAACATTATAATTGGATGTATGTGACTTGACTACAGAGTCAGTGGTTACAGTGAAGCCAGTTTTTTTTCAGTGTTTAACTGTTTAAATTCCTCCTGCTCACAGAAGAAATTAGTAAAAATCTGTCTAGACTTCAAAGCAGCTTTACAGAGGTAACAGGAAAATAATAAGTTTGTTTCCAGAAGAAAATAGCGTCACAGTCCAGCTTAAGTAAGTTCAGTGATGTTTCATTTTTTTTTGTACAAAATTTATTAATTTAGTTCATTTATATATATAGCCGCTCTGGAGAAAACAGTGATGTCATCGTCCAGCTCAGTTCAGTTCTCATATAATGGTGTCAATGCAGGAGATCAATAATATTGTTGAATATTAAATGAAATGTCCCCAACTAAGCAAGCCAAAAGCCAAAGGCGAAAAAGACTCCCTCACAGTCACTCATTATAGACGCCCGATTCCTTGTAAATGACGATCAGCTTAGAGCTTGCCAGTGAAGAACGTTGTGCTCAGTATGCGTCAGATGCTCAGTGAAGTGTGTGTGTGTGTGTGTTTCAGTGCTCAGCCAGCAGGCCCATCAGCAGCACCTCCAGCAGCAGCAGGCCCAGGTTCAGGCCCAGGCCCAGGCCCAGGCTCAGGCTCAGGCTCAGGCCCAGGGCTCCCAGCAGCAGCAGAGCTCTCAGCCCATGATGAACATGAGCGCCCAGCAGCACCAGCAGAAGATGAGGCTCCAGCGCATCCAGATGGAGCGCGAGCGCATCCAGAGGAGACAGGAGGAGCTCCTGAGACAGGTGAGTGTCTGCTGGACAGAGAAATACTGCAGCAAGTGGAGCATACAGGCAGAAACGTCCCCTGTTCACAGGGCTGTGTAGAGCTGTTTATATGTCCTGATCCCCAAACCCCACCAGGGGTCACCAGAGCTCTCGAAAGGGTTGGTTTCAGTGGAACTGATTATGATTTCACTTTTTTAGATTCTTTTAAACATGTGAATAAAATGTGTAGAAAAAACATTACTGGTGTGAATCTTGAGACAAAACAATGACATATTTTTGGATATTCCAGTGCAAGTTGCTTTCAGTTAAAACAGCTCAAACATGCATGTTAGTCTGAGACTGGAGTCAAGCCTTGTCTGTGAAACTGGGGGTAAAACTATAAAAACGGTATTAAATCGACTTTAAAAATCGAGTTGAATCTTGTATTACTTATACAAATTAAAAAATTCTTACATTATTTTGATGGTAAAGTAATTAAAAAACATATGTTTCCATGACTTATTGATCATATCGTTTTTTTACAGTGTACAGTTTAAAAAGCAAAGTCCCTTTAAGAGAATTTCCCTCGGCGGCCATCTTTGAAACGCCTCTCGGTCATGCAAGTGCAGCTCCTATCTTTTTGAGTGGGGAAACATCAAATTCTTCAAAACTGTTCGCCAAGCTTACAATTAAATTTCATATTTTAAATCACCAATGAAATCGGACAACAACTGTCTCATAAACTTTGTTTCCAAACGCTCAAATAATGACAGAAAATGCAATATTTCAGGCTGGATCAAGCTAATGCGCAGTGGAAATGTATGGCGTTATATGTGTGTCTCAATCCTGAGCGAGTAATTGTAAGTTTTGAGTGTTCGATTTGATTGGAGACCAACAGTCAATCACAATTGACCTTTAATTTTCCGATTGGTTGATTTTGTGGCACACTTGTAACGCTGTTGTATGTTGAGCGAGCGTGTGTGTGTGTCGAGTTGAGCGCGCACAGAATTAAGAGGTTGAGAGAGAGAGAGGGACTTGACAGGAGCGCAGAGAATAAGTTTGTGAGAGAGCACCTGTAAACTGCGTGAGAGTGGTTATTATTGCCCGTTAATATGGATAATAGCAAATACATTTATTGAGCATGGAAATTTTTTTTGCGATTGTTAATTTCTGTTCAAAATATAATGCAATGTGCTTGCAAAATATAGTTCTCTGTGCTCAAAACTTACAATTACTCGCTCAGGATTGAGGCACACATATAACGCCATAGAAATGCACGTCTGACTGCAGTGATGCGATGACTTAACGATCGGCGATTGGCTCTTGTTTAAAGGGCGGGGCTTATTCCGTCATATTGAGCGTTGCACTTTTCCCCATTCAAAACCATACGAGTGACGCGCCGTCTAGTGTTATTCCATAGTCTTTGATAAGAAGTGCTTTTTCCAAAAGGGTGAAATGGGGAATGAAATGCAGTATATGACTCTCTTACTAAACACCAGGGTCAGCTTAGAGAAAGGCTGGGAAGCGCTGATGTGAACTGTGACGCCCCCTAGTGGTCCACGCGCTCGTGCCGGCGTCATTCATCAAGCTCAGGTTTATAGGAACGACTCAAACGAGAGCAGCAGACAGACCTCACGCAGCATGTGTTTACATTCACCAGTCCTGGCTCCATTCACTCGTGTCTGATCACGGACATGCTCTTCTGTGTGAGAACTCGGGCTGAAGGAAGATTCGTCGGGCACTGGTTTCTGGCACTGGATGTGCTCCACGGTTTCTGCTGGACTGGATTCTTGCAGCTGTTTTTGCAAAAGCACTCCACCCTGAATCTCTATATATAAACAGCCCGAGCTGCTCTGACCAGTGCATTTAAAAGCTTCACTGGGAAGCTTATCGTTTTATAAAAGCATTTACATTAATTCTTCAGATAAAACTCATTGGTAAACCTGTAAAAAGGATTTAAACAATTTAAAGCTCAAATAATCCCGTCACCTTATGGGTTTACCTGTTATGTTGTCATGGCAATAAAGTTGTAAATGTGGATAATCCATGGTAAAGTCATGATAACATGTTGCTTACATCTTGTGTTATTGGCTATTGGCACGGCAACTGTATGTCTGAAGCTTATGCTTAGTGTTTTACAATAAATGCAAAAAAATAAGTAACATAAAAAGCACAAATTAAGTAAACTATTAAGTATTACTAACAAATGTATTATATATATATATGTGTGTGTGTGTATACATATATAATTCTAATATTAATTTGTAATATTTTAATTTCAGTTTTATATTTAGTCATACTTCAACAAACAAAAATTGGAAATGTTGCCTTGGCTAAACTAAATGAGTAGTTTGAGCGCGAGTGAGTTTTTGTGTGTAAATAAAATTTCTAGTAGGATGTATTGATACACTGTCTATTGTATTTAATATTCTCATATTCATACTTTCATATGAATAGGAAAATATTAAAGACTTAATCGCTCCACAATATAGCTACTACCAGAAAGCACCAGCCCAACTCAATGAGGCTTATATACATATAAATGTCTTTAACAACTGCTATTTTATTTGAGTTGTTGAATGTATTACATAATGAATTTATAATCAACATTTCTATGTTCCTGATACTCACACCAGCATTAATAACTGGAAATACAAGGTGTATTTAAGTTTATACATCCAGTAAACCAGTTTTATGAGCAGAGATTGTCAGGTTTATTTAAACAAACGCATGCAAATGTAAATGTTAGCTCTTCCTCTCAGTGTTTGAGTTCCTCATGTGGATGTTTCTCGGGGCTCGAGAGGCCTGCGGTCGGGTTACAGTGTGTGTGTGTGTTTCTCCAGGAGGTGGCGCTCCGACAGCTGCCCATGGACTCTGATAACATGGCCCCCGTGGCTCCAGCCATCAGCTCTCCGGTCATGACCCAGGCCAACATGCCCAACAGCAGCGCCGACCCCTTCCTCAACAGGCAGGTGTCCTCCTCACCCGCTCGCGTGCTCCCAGTGTGTGACGCTGTGCTAAAGAGTGTGTGTGTGTGTGTGCGCAGTGGGCCGTATCACTCCCGAGAGCAGAGCACGGACAGTGGACTCGGACTGGGATGCTACAGTATTCCCACCACTCCTGAGGACTTCCTGAACAACATGGAGGAGATGGACACAGGTGACGCAAACACAGCCGTTGAGACATTCTTACACAGCATCTGATTGGATCACACACCAATATATATTTATATACACGACCAGTCACAAGTTTTGGATCGGAAAGATTTTTTTCTGTTTTTTCTATGTGAATATATGTTAAAATGTAATGGTGATTCTTCAGAAATAATTCTAATATGATGATTTGATGCTCAAGAAACATTTATGATTATTATCAGTTATTTACATTTTTATTTCAGGATTCTTTGATGAATAGAAAGTTCAAAAGAACAGCTTTAATCTGAAATGGAAAGCTTTTGTATAAATGATAAACTACTGTTCAAAAGTTTGGGGTCAGAAAGAATTTTGGCGAAAGAAATTCAATAAATAAACACTTTTATTCATCAAGGATGAATTAAATTGATTCATAAAGATTCTATTTGAAATAAATGCTGTTCTTTTGAACTTTGTGTTCATCACAGAATCCTGAAAAGAATTGTACACAACTGTTTTCAATATTGATAATAATAATGATTGTTTATATATATAATATTTTGCACTGCATTATGACATTATTTTCATGACAGCTAAGCAAATCTTCACCTGATCTCATTTTCATTACTACATTTTGTATTTCTCATTATTCCAAATTATGATTTTGCATTAGATTTCTCATTGTGTCATTCAATATATATATTTTTTTATTTAAATCAGTTTGTATTAAAGGCCTTTGTGAAAAATAATTACACTTATACTTCAGAAGAATATACTTAAGTGTGAACTGAATGTAATGTTTTCTAAAACTTAATTGAATGATATTTGCATGATTTTAAATAAAAATATAGTTAAAAAATTGACCTACTTAAGTAGAACTTAAGTACATCTTTATATGTAATTTCATAATTCATAAACTTCATTGTAGTGTACTGCCGAACATACTGCTTAATTACACATTTGTAATAATGAAGATGCAATTTACCAATATATATATACCGGTATTGGTAAATTACATCTTCATTATTACAAATGTGTAATTAATCTACCCGATACACTGCCGGTCAAAAGTTTTGGATCAGTATGATTTTAATGTTTTTGAAAGAAGTCTCTTCTGCTCAGCAAGGCTGCATTTATTTGATTACAAATACAGTAATAACAGTAATATTGTAAAAATATTATTACAATTTAAAATAGCAGTTTTCTATGTGAATATATAGTAGAGTGTAATTAATTCCTGTGATCAAAGCACTCATTACTCCAGTCTTCAGTGTCACATGATCCTTCAGAAATCACTCTAATATGAGGAATGATGCTCAAGTCATCAAATCAACATTCATTATTATCAATGCTGTATGATTGCGTGTGTGTGAGGGGTGATATGCACTGGGTCTCACTGAGCTGTGTGTTGCGTGTGCAGGTGAGAACATGAACGTGCCGGTCAGCATGAGCGTTCCCCAGCAGAGCCGCTTCCCAGACTTCCTGGACTCCATGCCCGGCACCAACGTGGACCTGGGCACCCTGGAGGGGGCCGACCTCATGCCCATCCTCAACGACGTGGAGTCGGTCCTGAACAAGAGCGAGCCCTTCCTCACCTGGCTCTAGGCCCACACGCCACACTAAAGACTGCTTTACAAATATAGATATTATATTATATATTCAATCAGCCTCTTCCTCTAGTTTCACTGTTTAGGTGTCAGAAATCACCCCGAGTCTAAGAACAATACCAAAGTGTTTAGCCTGCGAACAAATGAGCAAGCATGTGTCAATCAAAGCATTAGAGGAAGACAAACGTGTTTGTGCTGTAACTGATGATGGGTGGATATGATTATTACTGTGTTTGTGTTCAGAAGGATCACACTGAGAGTGGGAACGCATTAATAGTGTGGTGTACGTGAGTCGGGCTCTCGGATCATGTTTAACAGGCGCAGTGTGTTTGTACATTAACACAGAGAGAGAGTCTGGGTGAATCTCACGAAAAGAAGGCATGCGGTCTTGTTCCCGACAAGAGTTAGTCCTAGTTTATAACTCAAAATTCAGACTTTTTTCTCTGAAGTTCTGCACGTGTATGCAGTCAGGTCAGGGTACACCACACCGCCTTCAACTAAACACCAAACACCTTTGTTGTGGCAAATAAACAATTAACAATTCTGGATAAGAGACAAATGTTCAATCAATGATTCTAATGGTTATTTCTTGCAGGAAAGACTCCCAGTCACACAGTCTCTTCATATCTCTGCTCCTCAGAACACAGATAACACAGGCCATAGCCCTGGCTCCTAGCCAACTCAACCTTTCTCTGGTTTATTAAGAAAGTACATCATTTATTATAAGGAAAGATCATTAATATCAATAAAAAAAACAATTTCTTTGTTTTGCCCGTTCATTTAGACGACAACGGTGTTTTGTGGGCCTGAAAACGCAAACTGTTGAACACAGATTTCAAAGTGCAAGTTTTTACCATTATCGTCTCCATTTAAACTACAGAAACGTGAATCTGTGAAATCGGTGACATCATGCGCATGTGTATTATGTGTTCAGTCTATAGTGTTTCCTTACAAAGTGACGTCGCCACCTACTGGCCTGGCATGAATAATACAGCGTTTTAGTCATTTTCACAGATCCGTGTAAACAGGGATCGTTTGACAACGTTGTTGTGTGTGTTAAAAACGCAAAGGAGAAATCGTACATTTTTTGTACATCATTGTTGTGTAAACAAAAAAAAACCTGAAACCTGATTTGCGGAAATGAGAATCGCAATTTTGAGAGAAAAAAGTCAGAATTGTGATATAAACGGTTACATTTTTTCTATTTGTATTCTGTAGCAGAAATAACTTCCATAAGAACATGTCTAGATCAATAATAAGAAATAAGAATAAATGCTTAAAGAAAATTAAGCCAATTTTCAGGACCATTAGGAATTTTTGAATAATAATTAAGCATGTTTCCCCTAAGCACTAATTCGAAGAATCATCACTGAGAATGAGAATTACAATCAAACTCGAGATTCACGTGTGTTACAGTAGTGCATGTGTGTTACAGTAATGCACATGTTACAGTAATGCACGTGTGTTACAGTAATGCACGTGTGTTACAGTAATGCACATGTTACAGTAATGCATGTGTGTTACAGTAGTGCATGTGTGTTACAGTAATGCACATGTTACAGTAATGCATGTGTGTTACAGTAATGCATGTGTGTTACAGTAATGCACGGGTGTTACAGTAATGCACGTGTGTTACAGTAATGCACGTGTGTTACAGTAATGCACATGTTACAGTAATGCATGTGTGTTACAGTAATGCACGTGTGTTACAGTAATGCACGTGTGTTACAGTAATGCACGTGTGTTACAGTAATGCACGTGTGTTACAGTAATGCACATGTTACAGTAATGCACGTGTGTTACAGTAATGCACGTGTGTTACAGTAATGCACATGTTACAGTAATGCATGTGTGTTACAGTAGTGCATGTGTGTTACAGTAATGCACATGTTACAGTAATGCATGTGTGTTACAGTAATGCACGTGTGTTACAGTAATGCACGTGTGTTACAGTAATGCACGTGTGTTACAGTAGTGCATGTGTGTTACAGTAATGCACATGTTACAGTAATGCACGTGTGTTACAGTAATGCACGTGTGTTACAGTAATGCACATGTTACAGTAATGCATGTGTGTTACAGTAGTGCATGTGTGTTACAGTAATGCACATGTTACAGTAATGCATGTGTGTTACAGTAATGCATGTGTGTTACAGTAATGCACGGGTGTTACAGTAATGCACGTGTGTTACAGTAATGCACGTGTGTTACAGTAATGCACATGTTACAGTAATGCATGTGTGTTACAGTAATGCACATGTTACAGTAATGCACGTGTGTTACAGTAATGCACGTGTGTTACAGTAATGCACGTGTGTTACAGTAATGCACGTGTGTTACAGTAATGCACATGTTACAGTAATGCACGTGTGTTACAGTAATGCACATGTTACAGTAATGCACGTGTGTTACAGTAATGCACATGTGCCGTGTACAAACTGGGAACATGCAAATGCCACCTTAAGGAGCTCTTTCTATCTTATTTAAACCATCAAACTAGTTTTATTGGAATAAATGAATGTATTTAGGTTGATTGAGTGATACTATTTTTGGCTTGTATAAAACCAGCTGATTTAGATGCTTCAGAAATCATAATGGTCCTTACGTTTTCATGAGATTCACCCTGCTTTAATAATTCACATTTGGCCAAATCAGCAACAGTGTGCCTGTCAAAGCTTTACATGGTGAATTTATATCCACCGAGTAACTATTTCAGACGTGTTTTACTTTTATTCCAGTTTAGCTATTGTGTGAAGCTCACGAAGCTCATGTAGACAAGCGTTTCATATCATATATGTTTTATTGTACTGCTACAGTATTCCTATTTTCTATTCTGTGCTCTTGACATCTGGTGCATTTATCAAGAGCTACTGTATGAACCTCTTTTTAAATAGTTTTTACAAGTTTTTTTTTTTAATGAATTTTAAATTTCGAAGCACTACAAATACACCAAGGATTCAGCAATACTAGTCTAGTCCCGCAATATTTTCAGGGAATATCGCAAATCAAGTATTTTCGGATCATTTTGCCTTCATTCGAATGATCGTTGTGGCCGACACATGTTTTTTTATTGATTTATTACCCTGGCTGAAATCCAGTTCAATATATAAACATATAAATATGTTGTTTTGTTTTGTTTTTCTACACAGGTCTAATTTTTGTATTGCATGTTTGATCTGTTTGATATTCATAGCATCGGGGGTGTGTAGACCCACCTCACCATGACTTCTTTATTGTGCATGGTTACTTTATAGACGGGTTATGAATTGAGAAGTGTGTTGGATTTGTGGATTGTGCAGATGTTTGGGCGGAGGGCTGGTTTTTAGTAACTGTAGGTCAAACTGAGCTCATGACGTCCTTTATAAGGACCGACCGGTTAAGTACCGGGTCAGGAAGAGGTTCTCGAACCCGAGTGACCTTGAGAATCATTCAGAGGTTGGTTTCTTCAGTTTTGGACAACTAAGGATGAGATCTGCTGGTCTTGAGTGGCCAGTTCTGCAAGAGGGACCTTTTAAAGATTTGACTATTTTCTATGATATAAACTGCCTTTCCGAAACCTGAATCATGCAATTTCCCACAGAGTTGGAAAGTTGCGGGTGGGAACTGAGCAATTTTGTCGTTGTGTTATGGGGTGAAGTGTAATCTGTGCCGGCTGATCCAGAGTTGTGTAGCGCTCAACACTTCAGCATGCTTTAGGTTTTGTAAGAACGTTGGTCACATGCTGGAAAGCTCAGAAGACAAACAGTGTACCACAGAAATATGATAGCGGTGTACTGTACGTGAGAAACGTGGTTGTAACCTCGAAGAAATCTCTAAAATTGTCAGTAAAATCAAAAAGGAAAGAATAAAATTGTTTATTAGCATGGATGTATAGCTGTGTTTCTTTATGAATCAGTTCATTGACTTTGACTTTACCAGCCGGAGTGGTAACTAACCTTTGGATAAACAAGTTATTATCCATTTTCAGTGGCATGTGTCTCTTGTGAAAAAGAAGTGCTCTTAAATGTATTGAATGTGCCATATACTGTATTTAAAAAAAACTGTACTTGCAGATAATGTCAAATTAACTAAATAAAAGGCTACTTAAGTGCACTTAAAGAGACACACTTTCATGTTTTAACACTTGAGTGCACTTAATAGTCAAATTAAGTTTACTTTAACGTGCATTTTAAATACTTTTAAAACATTTTAATAATATTGTGTTGTGCTTTTAAAGAAGTACAATTATTTTTATGTGTTGACTAACATACTGAAGCACATGTAAACTATTTCATTATAATGTTTAACTGTAGTCAAGTCTCCTTTATTTATATATACAGTTATATTTACAATACAGATCGTTTCAAAGCAGCTTTACAGAGATAACAGGAAAATAATAAGTTTGTTTCCAGAAGAAAATAGCGTCACAGTCCAGCTTAAGTAAGTTCAGTGATGGTTCATTTCTGTTGTAAAAAAGTTATTAATTTAGTTCATTTATATATATAGCCGCTCTGGAGTAAACCGTGATGTCATCGTCCATCTCAGTTCAGTTCTCATATAATGGTGTCAATGCAGGAGATCAATAATATTGCTGAATATTAAGTGTTTAGAGGCGACAGTGACGAGAACCCAAACTCCATCAGTGACAGAATGGAGAAATAAACCTCGGGAGAAACCAGACTCAGTCGCTCAGTTCTCCTCTGGCCAACGAACGATCAGTGTGTGATTATGATTCAGGAGCATTACAGGTCAGGTGGAGGATTGGATCAGAACATCAGAATATTATCCAGTTCATCTGGCTGAAGATCGGAGTCATCACGGCCGTATGGAGTTTGTTGAGGATTAGTGCCGATCTGTAGTGTGTTCTTGGAATATTTTAAATGTACTAAATTGCAACTTCGTCATTACAAATGTGTAATTACAAATATACTTAAATACAAGTATATTTAAACATTTATATACCCTATACTTAAACAAGGTTCCATTTGTTAATAATAGTTCATTACATTAGTTAACATGAACTAAGAATGAAGAATACTTCCAAGGTATATTAATATTAGTTCATGTTATTTTCAACATTTACTATGACATTAATCAAATTAAAAGTTGTATCTATCTGTTAGTATTATGAACTGAGAATTGGAACTTAGGAACTGAGATAACATGAACTAACTGTTGTGTTTTTATTATAATGGATGATGTACATCCAGCCGGTTGTTATCTGAGAATAAACCCTGACAGGGAGATGAGGACCCCGAAGCAGAGTCTTGCTTTAGCCTGAGAGAACATTATCTCGCTTATCACACGGCTACTTGCCACACAAGTAAATATTAAGATATGAAATATTGATCTGTGTCTAAATATTTTATTAGCTCTTTAAAGGCAAAGCTTCCGCGGAGAGAGCAGTTTCTA